AACACAATCGAAGTCTGCTTTCTTATAACAATTTGGCATCAGAGCTCATGGCAAACATGATGAATCAAATGTCGTTGTCACGACTAACGAAGTCAAATTATGAAAACTGAAGTATCCAAATGAAAACTCTTCTTGGATCTCTAGACGCGTGGGATGTGACCCATGAAGGGTTTGAAGAACCAACAGAAGTTGGGGGATATACGACAGCACAAACGAAGGCGTTGAAAGAGACGCGATCGAAGGACAAAACGGCATTATACATGTTGTTCAGGGCTGTAGATGAATCAGGCTTCGAAAAAATTGTTGGTTCGACTACGTCGAAACAAGCGTGGGACACGTTAGAAAAAGTGTTCAAAGGAGCAGATTGAGTGAAGCAAGTTCGACTCCAAACTCTTCGTGGCAAATTGGAGAGGATACAAATGAAGGATACAAAAATTGTATCTGACTACATCACACGTGTGCAAAAGGTGGTGAATCAACTCACCAGAAATGGAGAGACAGTAACTGATGCACGAGTTGTTGAAAAGATCTTGAGATCTATAACAGATAAGTTTGAGAATATTGTGTGTGCAATAGAAGAGTCGAAGGACCTTTCGACGCTCTCAGTCAAAGAGCTCGCTGGTTCTCTCGAAGCACATGAACAACGAAAGATGAAAAAGAAAGAAGAAGCAGTCGAAGAAGCAAATCAAACCAAGGAATCAAACAAAGACGAAAAGGTACTCTTTTATCAAAACTTTCGAGGAAGAGGACGTGGACGTGGAGGTCGTGACAATGATCGAAGTGGTAGAGGTAGCAACTTCGAAAGAGGACAATCGAGCCAACAAAATTGGCGTGGCAGAGGACGTGGTCAAAGAGGTGGTCGTTCGAATCACTCCAACTTCGAATGCTACAAGTGTGGGAAGTATGGTCATTACGCGAAGGATTGCAACTCCTACAAATGTTACAACTGTGACAAAGTGGAACATCTTGCAAAAGACTGTCGAATCGAAAAGAAGATTGAAGAAACAACCAACCTAGCCTTGGAAGATGAATCGAATGAAGGCTTTCTCCTGATGGCTCAAAACAAAATCAACACCAATAATGACAATGTTTGGTATCTTGACTCAGGAGCAAATAATCACATGTGTGGTTATAAACACATGTTTAAAGATATGAAGAGAATTGAAGATGGTAATGTGTCTTTTGGAGATGCATCAAAAGTGAAGGTCGAAGGAAAGGGCACAATCAGTTACTTGCAGAAGGATGGCTTGATTGGTTCAATCGAAGACGTTTACTATGTACCAGATCTCAAGACCAACATATTGAGTCTGGGACAACTTACAAAAAAAGGTGCTTCGATACTTATGAAAGATCGAACACTGCATTTGAAGGACAAAGTAGGACATCTGATTGCCCGTGTCGAAATGGAAATAAATCGAATGTATAAACTGAACCTGAGGAACGTTCAAGAGAAATGTATGCAAATCGAAGTGCAAGACAAAGCGTCACTATGGCATATGCGCTTTGGTCATCTACATCATGATGGTTTGAGAAGGTTGGCGAAAAGGAACATGGTGCATGGACTACCAGACATGAATTTCGAAGGAAAGCTCTGTGAAGAATGTGTGCTCAGCAAATAAACAAGAACCTCATTTCAAAAGAAGGCAGAGTATCAAGCTAAACATATTCTCGAATTGATACATACTGATATATGTGGGTCAATCACTCCAGAATCCTTCAGTGGAAAAAGGTACTTCATTACTTTTATTTATGACTTCTCAAGAAAGACCTGGGTTTACTTCGTGAAAGAAAAATCTGAAGCATTAGAGGTGTTCAAAAAGTTCAAAGTAATGGTGGAGAAGGCAACAGACAGACACATCAAAGCAATTCGATCTGACATAGGAGGTGAGTATACTTCAACGACCTTTGTGAAGTACTATGAAGAACAGGGCATAAGGAGATTCCTAACTGCACCATATTCACCATAGCAAAATGGTGTGTCTGAAAGGAAGAATCAAACTATTCTTAACATGATTCGATCAATGCTCAAAAGCAAGAACATGTCGAAAGAATTCTAGGCAGAAGCAGTACAATGTGCTGTTTATGTTCAGAATAGATGTCCACATTCGAAGTTAGAAGATAAAACACCACAAGAAGCATGGAGTGGACAGAAGCCAACAGTTTCTCATGTCAAGGTATTTGGTAGTGTAGCTTATGCACATGTACCAGATCAACGAAGAACAAAGCTTGAAGACAAAAGTCAGAAGTACATATTCATTGGATATAATGAGAAGACAAAAGGGTACAAGCTATTAGACCCCATAAGCAACAAAGTGGTCGTGAGTAGAGACGTTCGAATAAACGAAGCAAGCAAGTGGGACTAGAACAATTCGACATAGGTTATTGACGCAGTCGAAGAAACAACTATAGTTGTACCAACAAGTATTCCAATAGAACATGAAGAAACTGAAGATGAAGATGAACCTCTACACCCCAGAATGAGAAGTTTTCAAGATTTATATGATTCAACAAGTGAGGTGCATCTTGTGTGCCTTCTGGAAGATGCTGAAAACATCAGTGTCAAAGAAGCGTTATGAGACAAGAAGTGAAAAAGTGCCATGGACGAAGAGATTAGAGAAATCGAACGCAACAATACTTGGGAGCTAGTCGAATTTCCAAAAGGTAGTCAACCCATTGGTGTAAAGTGGGTATTCAAGAAAAAGATGAATGCTCAAGGAGAAATTGAATGATTCAAAGCACGATTGGTTGCGAAGGGATACAAACAGAAAGCAAGAATTTACCATGATGAAGTGTTTGCGCCTGTTGCGAGAATGGAGACAATTCAATTGCTCATTTCTCAAGCTGCTCAATTCAAATGGCCAATATTTCAAATGGATGTCAAGACAACATTTTTGAATGGTGTGCTTGAAGAAGAAATATATGTCGAACAACCACTTGGGTATATGAGAATTGGAAAAGAGAAGAAGGTGTTGAAATTGAAGAAAGCGCTGTATAGGCTAAAGCAAGCACCTAGGGCATGGAACACACGCATTGACACATATTTCAAAGAGAATAGATTCGAGAAATATCCTTATGAACTTGTCCTCTATGTGAAGAAAAATGGAAGTAATGTATTACTTGTTGCTCTCTATGTTGATGATCTTATTTTTCTAGGCAGTGATGTTCAGATGATAGAAGATTTCAAGAGCACCATGACAAGCAAATTCGAAATGACAGACTTAGGTCTAATGAGATTCTTTCTTAGTCTGGAGGTTCGATAAGAAGAAACTGGAATCTTTATCTCACAAGAAAAATATGCAAAGGAAATCCTGGAAAAATATAAGATGAAGAATTGTAATCCAACTTTGACGCCAATGAAACCAGGTGCAAAACTGTCAACGTTTGATGGAGGAGAACGGGTTGAAGGAAGCAAATATTGAAGCTTGGTAGGTAGCCTTCGATATCTCACATGCACAAGGCCAAACATTTCACTAAGTGTTGGTATTGTAAGTTGATTCATGGAGGAGCCAGTATACACATTGGAAGGCACTGAAACAGATTCTAAGGTATATCCAAGGAACAATATCACTTGGAATGTTTTATTCAAAAACAGAAGACTACAAGTTAGTTAGTTATTCTGACAGTGACTGGTGCGGAGACATAGACGACCGAAAGAGCACTTCTGGATATGTGTTCTTCATGAGAAACACAACATTTACTTGGCTATCGAAGAAGCAACCTATAGTAACACTTTCAACGTGTGAAGCTGAATATGTGGCAACATCCTGGTGCGTCTGTCATGCAGTATGACTCAGAAGGTTGATAAGCAAGATGGAGCTAAAACAGGAAGGTCCAACAATAATACAAGTGGATAATAAATCAGCTATCGAATTGGCAAAGAATCCAGTGAATCACGAAAGAAGCAAACACATTGATGTTCGATTCCACTTTATTCGTGAACATGTGAAGGAAAGAAGTGTCGAATTGAGGCATGTAGCAAGCAAGAACCAGGCAGCAAATATTTTCACAAAACCACTATCGAAAGAGATCTTCGACAGAGGCAAGAAGATGATAGGAATGCTGGATGGAAGAAACATTTAAGTTTACAGAGGAGTTTTGTTGAGTAAACTTTAATGTCATTAGTAATGAGTTTTTCATATTAAATAAGGTAGTAGGAATATTAAGAACCAATGTAATTTGGAAAGTAAAAAAGTCAGTACGTTATGATTGTTTTTATTAATAGCAGTTATACTTTCTTGAATTGTAAAAGTCATTAGGTCTATATAAAGACCAAGAGTGTATTTTATTTAACAACAACAATAGAAAAATTTGCCTCTTTCTTAAAACAAACACAATCGAAGTCTGCTTCCTTATAACATTTTGGACCAACCTTAGCATTCTTTTACAGAATAGAGTTTTTATTTGATTTTGACGACATTAAGGATTGAGAGTAAGGATTGAAGGCTTTATACGATTAAAGATCAACTTTCATCTATAAATTGATGTATCTTTCTTCAAACCTTTTGGCTATGAAAATTTGGATTATGAATGGCTGAATTCCTTTTGATTAGGCCTTTTAGATGAATTTGTTTCGAACTATTTAAAACATGTAATTCATGAGTACTATTCTATAAAGTTGCTATACTAGTATTATTAAGTTAAATTTATATTTAATCCATTTTATATTTTAACCAATGTATATATGAATTGATTCTAAATTATAAATGATTACTAATCCTAACTTTTGAATCTCGATCTAATTTAACTGTTCAATTAAATAATTACTTTAGATATATTAAATTATATACTTGGGATATAAGAATAATCACATATGAAAACTTCTTTTTATTATGAACTCGCCTAAGACATTAGAAATTGTAATTAAAAGAGTGAGTTATTCACCAAAAAATTGTATCTAGTTATATGCTCACACATTCAATTAGCAATATATGTAATCATTTTTTTAAGACAGATGAAACATTACATAAGAAAAAGTGTTTAAGACAGTAAATGCATAATATTCAAGAAATGTTCTCTATAAGAGAATCAGTTGCTATTTCCACAGAATCACTTGACATTGTTTGGTCCGAGTTGCTTCTTTGATCATTTCCAATGGTTTCATTGGGATAAAGAATTGGCTTCGGAGGCATGTTAAGAGTTTCGATATCTCCTTCGAGCATCTCCACGACCTTGCTCATTGAGGGTCGATCATCTGGTTTCAATTGTATACACCAAAGTGCGACTATGATCATCTTCTTTACCATTTTCTTTTCATCTTCAGAGATGTCTTCTATTTCTATGTCATGCTCGTTTTCAACTTGATCGTAAATCCATAAAGGAAAATAAAGCTGGCTTGAATGCTCGGCGTGGACATTTAAGTTTTTTCTTTTACTTGCCATTTCCATCAAAAGCATCCCAAAGCTATAAACATCGGCCTTATACGACACTCCTCCAATATTTTTGTAGAACAATTCTGGAGCCATATATCCAATTGTACCTCTTGCTGCAGTCATTGTGACAATGCTATTCTCTACTGGATAAAGCTTAGCCAATCCAAAGTCAGAGACTTTTGGGATGAAGTTCTCATCAAGAAGAATGTTGTGAGGCTTGATATCAAAATGCAAAATCTTCATTTCACATCCGTGGTGGAGATAAGCAATCCCACGAGCTACTCCGACCGATATGTCAAAAATTTGGCTATAGCTTATACTTGCACTCCCTTCTTTAGAGAAAATATATTTATCAAGAGATCCATTAGGCATGAAATCGTAAACAAGAGCACATTTTGATCCCTCAGCACAAAATCCAATTAATTGTACAACATTCAAATGATGTATCCTTCCTATGGTTGCTACTTCACTGATAAAGTCATGTCCATTACCTTTTGACTCACGCAACATCTTGATTGCCACACAAGGTCCACTACGGAGATTTCCCTTAAACACAGTGCCAAAACCTCCTTCACCTAACTTGTCTTTGAAACCTCTCACCATTTTCTTAATTTCTTTGTATGAATATCCAATGGGCGTGAGGTTGTTTTGTTGCTGTAGATATACTTCGATATATCCAAACATTGACAAATGCCTTTTCCTCCATTTGTATATCAACAAACCAATAAATAATGTCATCACAAACATAAATCTAGCCACTAGAATTGACGGTAGAACATATTGTCCTATGATAAATCCTATATACTCGGGACAGTAGAAATCTTCATATCTATATCTTGGTTGTCCATTTAATATTCCAAATAATCCTGTTCCACAATACCACAAAAAAGTATATATATAGGAAATTAAAGTAGGCACATAATATTAAGAGCTATGTCATTTAGACACAAAGAGAGCTTCCACACTTTCATGTAAGCCCAACTTATCGGGTGCAATTAAGAAGGAACAACTCTCAAGTAATTCAAGACATCCAACTCAATGTCTTTCAAAGAGAGCTTGAACCCATATTTATATAAAGGAACAAGTAGAGCTCGTAATTGTTGCATTTATTTCGAAATTCTCGTTGATGTATTATCTTTGGGCGAGTACCTTTTGTACTCTTTTTGCTTAATGAATTTCATTGTTTATCAAAATAAAAAAAATCTACGACCTAGAACGAAAGAAAGATAGGTAGACGAAACCAACTGTTGGAATTACCTCGAAATTACAAAGTGAACTTAAGCATCCTAGATGGCAGTGCCATGCTATATACTAAAAACCTATGACCATGTATTCATGCAATACTATGAAACGTTTCAATAACAAGACTTTCTTTTAAAATATGCATGATCCCGAGGTCGTTTGCTTCCACTCACTGGCCTTTTCCACTTCCAACAAACTAAGAGCCTATCAAGAATAGCACAATAGAAGACAAGATTAGTTATGTAATCTCAAGTCTTCACATTGTTCCACAATGACAAAATCTTAAGGGCAATTGTTTCTCGCCAACAAAGACGGAGAGACCCAATCATATAGGAGGGATCAATCCAAGACACATTTCCTAGGTTTCTGGAGACCAAGTGAACCCTAGATTAAGAAGCAAACATTCAATTTTTTCCATCTAGTGAACATGCATTGTTAGATTTAATTCCCCAATGCCTCACGCCTTGAAACATGAGGTAGTTTTAACCGCCTCATGTATGAAGACCGTTGCACGCTAGTTACAAGTTTATTCTTACAATAACTCACAACATCTGCATGTTCTTAATTATCCATAATTTTATGGTTCCGTATCGTACCTAATTAGAATGGATCGTCAAAATCTACAAACTATGAGTTGAGCAACAGCTGGAGATGAGATGGGGGAGGAAGGGAGGGGTACCTGCAAGACACTCTGATGCTAAAGTAAGATTCAGGGAGAGTGCTAGCAAGTATGAGAGTATGTGAGTTAAAGAATCAATACCCGACCCTCTCAAGTGAGAGGGTATTTATAGCCCCCAACGCTGGGCCAAGGTCTCCAATGTTGGGTCACGATGAGGCCCAACAATGAAGACTGTCAAGACTTACGTGTGTATGAAGTCCAACACTTGGACTCCCCCCTGGCCAACTGTTCTGAGAGAACAAGTGTTGGATCTGTGAGTCCCGGAGGACAGTTATGATGACGATGATGCAGACACGCGAGTCACGTTCTCCAATGGACACGTGGAGAGTTGCCCGACGATCCCCAACTTGGGCAACTTGTCTTTAGGCTTTATACAAGGGTGTTGGATTAGGCCTGCCCAACAATGAGGCAAGTGCGGGATCAGTCCAGATCAGGAGCCCCCAAGTTATTGCCCTTAGGTGAAAGGGTGATGACTTAAGTTCAACTTTATGGTCAGAGAGAATTTGCTTGAGAAGAGAGGTCGTAACCCTCTGACGGAAATGAGTTGTTTGCCCTTTCTAGGGACAACCTATTTAATTGTGTCGGGAATCTCGTGAACACGCGAGTTGTGAGGCCAACTAGGTCAGTTATTCGTCCGATTCCCGTGGGAGTATATAGGATGCGGGGAGCTTCCGCAGACTTCTTTTCGACGTGCCCGTCCTCAAGGTGTTGCTACGATGTCGAGTGTTATTTCGTCCTCGAGGTGCAACACGATGAATATGCCCGTATGCATGTTTTAGCCATGATGTCGAGCATTTCGCCGTGTGAGACGTCTTCATCGTGCTCGAGCACGATGTTTCGCGTGGAAGTCGGGGGCGTGTTCGTCTCTTGAGAATGGATATGTGGCAGGTTGTTGCGCCACGTGGCTGTTACTTTAGGGTGCCATCTTTTCATAGGGAGTCCAAAAGGCCCAAACTAATTATGACTTTTCGTGATAAACCTCGTGGGGTGTGAGCCACCTATAAAAAGGGGACCATATGATTTCATTTATCATTTCTCAAGTTTTCTTCTGCAATCTTCCTTGCCCGCACGTGAATCCTCTCCTCTTAACTTCTCCTTAGAGTTCTTCAAGGCATTCTTATCCAAGTAAGTCATATCCTCCTGACAACATGTTTTCTTTAGAATTTTAAGATTAAACGCTTAGTTTTCATCTTGATTGGAAGAATCTTGGATGAACATCCATGAGTTCTGCGATGAACATCCATGAACTTCCATTGAAGTTCATGATAGATTGATGAACTTCATGACGTCAGGGTCATTTTCCCTGAATAATAGGGGTTGATTCGGGCACCTTGCCCGTTTGGCTAGATTTCCCCCAATAGAAGTGTGGTTCATTTTAGTGTACAGTTGAGGGCTTGGGTAGAAGTCTATTCCTCGAAGGCTTTATCGTCCTTACACTTGATTTATGGTGGAAAGGTGAATTTGATGATGTCGAATTCACTATTTTCCCCTGCTTTTCAGGTATAATGGAGCATTCAGCCGGGGAGGACGTCTTACCCGCCAACCACAAAGATGAAATCAACGTCAAAGAGGACCCTTTGGCCTGGGTGGCACTTGAGCCTAGAAATAAGAGGTTGTGCTTTTCGCACGATGCAACAGACGCGTTCAACTATATGCAAGTTCGAGCTAAGGGGGCCCTCGCCAACTCGATTCTCCAAATTCCTCATTATAACAGGAGGATCTGCTCGACATATCTGGGCAAACGTTTCCCCATGTATGAGTTTGCGTTTAAAGAGGTGGGGATGTGTTTTCCCTTCAATGACTTTCAAGTGGGGTTTCCAGTGGCTTCAATTGGCACCCTTCCAACTTCATCGAATGCGTTGGCGTTCATGTGGGCATTCGAGATCGTTTGTCAATATCTGCAAATAGGCTCTACGCTGCCCCTCTTCTTACGTATCTTCCACTTACAAAGACAGACCATTGAAGCAAGCATGGGTGTCCTTCAAATAGTTTAGGAAACTCTTTTGGCCTTATTTGGAGTCTGTTCATCATTTCAAAGAGAGGTACTTTATCGTGAAGCCTCTGACGGACGCGACCATAGATTCCCTATACACTCGTGTGGAATAGATAGAGGATGGGCGACTAGTTTTCCGGCTCGTGGCCAGATTTCCGCTCGAATTGAAATGGAAACATTTCGAGCAAAAGCCCGAATATTATGTTGTAAAGCATGAGGACTTGGACGCCTAGGACCAACTCTCCTATGAGAAGCTGGCGGCATATGTTAAGAGTTTCTCCCCAGCAAGGTGTGTGGACGTGAACAATAACCTCCTCTTCAACGACAACGGGGAGTATCTCCTCGTTAATAGGTTTATCAACACGAATGCTTTGCTCGAATGTTCTTCAGGCGAGGAAGCCATGAGGCTTTTAGGTAGGGGATGTGGTTGTGATGTTATTTTTGTTTGGCCTTTATGCAGGGACATGCCCGTGATATTATCTTTGTTTAACCTGTGACTGACAGTTTCCTTTTAATTGCAGGTCGGATGGTGTCCCTCTCCGAGGTCTATTAAAGTTGAGACCCAAGAACACTTCCACCTCGGGGCCAAAGAACAGGGTCGCCCAACTCCAAGAGCAGAGAAAATCTTCTGCACGTGCAAGCAGTTCCCCTTCTTCAACAAAGACTCAGGTCCCCCCCAACGAGCCCGCAACAAAGAGGAAGCGCGCGGAGGATGTTGAGCACGTCGCACTCAAAAGTGATAAGGGGCCCGAGGGGGTCTTCGTGCTGCCTCCCTATTACCTAAACCGTGACATCTTTAGTGGGCAGAGCTCTTTAGGTGTTCACGAGGAAGAGAGGGGGCGATCTTGTCCGAAGATAAGGAAACTCGATAGAAGAATTTGTCGGAGCAAGTGGTTGTTGTGATGAGGGTGCTCAAAACGACCTTAATGCTAAATGACGAGGTTACGGGCTCTCAGGCTGCCCTCGACAAGGCGTATGCTAAGATTAACAAGCTGAATGGCGTAAATGAGAAGCTGAAGGGTGACATCCTCAATCATGAGACAAAGTTTGAGGCCCAAGTTCAACTCCTCAAGGATCTGAATGAGCTGCGGCCCCAACTCGATGTTGCGACCAAAGAAAACAAGCGCTTGGTCGCCACCATAAAGGAGCTGGAAGGGATTGTGGCCCCAGATGAAGAAGAGACCGATGCAGAAAAATCCATGGCGACCAGGGGAGATCTAATTGCGCGTATCTGGGTGCTTGAGCAAGATGTTGTGGACACCTTCGGCTATGGATTTAACACAGTCGTGGAGCAGCTAAATGTTTTGAAACCGAGGGTCGAGTTGGTGGTCGAAGGCGCACGACCGTTTAACCAATTGGTTGATGGAACAATCTTCTATCCTCATGATGATAGTCCCGCAAGGCATAACGACAGGGAGGACGAGATCTGAAATGTTTTGGGGCCTCGTGCTTGTTTCTGTTTAGCTTGGATCTGTGGCCTTCGTGCCTGTATTTTGTAATTATTTATAGAGCGCTGACTTTCGTGGTCGGCATTTATGAATGCTTTTATTTTTCCTTTATGTCTATTTATTCATAAATACTTGCTTGTCGCTGCACTTAACTTGCTTATTGTATGAAAGTTGGTATTTTATGGTTGGAGATTTATGCTCGAACTTGGTTATGGTCGACACATGTCTGATGCATCGAGGGAGTGGATTGGGGATCTGTGGAACAAGCCCAAGATCGAGGTCGGGATCTTGAGTTCGTGGCGTAAACTTCCCATCGCGAGCTAGTTGTTCTTCCTGTTGGGTACTTCGTCAGAAGAGCTCGATTGAGGTGTCCATGTTGGGCTAAGGTCCTACTCGAGAAACGAACAACGACCCGCATTTCATTGATGTTTGGAGGCCATGTTTGTAACTTAACATGTCTACATGGTTAAGCTCATCCTGTCGTTGATTAGAGAGGACTGTTCG